TTTCCCTTAAGAAACTTTATGACAAATTAGAAATCTAAGACAATCTAAAGTAAGTTAAAATTAGCTTTGGGCAGTTATAAGAATACCAGTCAAAGAATAACTGAAATAACCACCTATTTGTCAAATGTAGAATAACACTCATCTGTTAGATACTTGAAAGTTGTGAAATGAAACATACTTTGATATTTGATTACAGAGGTACTTATTTGGTTGCATTCTATTACCTTTATATGCTTTTAAATACAAATAGCTCATGCAAAATATTCTGTTTCTTTTCAAAAGAATATAAAATATTGGCAAGTTGATTAACCCCGTAAGTGGATGAGTGTAGCATGAGTAGTACTTCAAATTTTAAACTCCAGCACTGCTGCTACAAAGACTTCAGGATTTTGGTTTATAGAAGTAAGTGCATTATCTGGAAGCTTGATAAAAACATCTTCCCAAAGGGCAGAGACATGTAATAATCCCTGACTTCTCTCCCCTACAGATTCTTGGCCCAAAAAGGAGATGAGACATTTGCAGTTGGTTTCAAGTAACCAGCATAAATCAGAAAAGACAGAGAACCAGGGCTCAGGTATTTTTACTCTACTGTTACAGCAGCTTCTTCACATCCTCATTACAGAATTTGCATCTGATGCTTTCAACATTGGCATTCAGTAAGTCAAAGAATGCTCATTCTGTATGTCATTCTTTTGACAAAGGCAAGAGAATAGGCATAAAAATGCAGTTTCAACTGGTACAACAGGCTTTACCTATTCCTGAATAAAATTTAATTGGATAAAGGACATGCACTTTTTTCTTTGTTTTCTTTCTCCCTTACTTCTGCTACCAGTCCAGTGTCTTTAAGGCTCAATTTTCTCTTTACACATACCGGGAAATTTTTTATGTGCATATTAGATCACCAACAGCCCTGTATCTCTTCTCCCCTCTGTTATATTCTCTCCCTCCTATTAACCATTATATTCTATTCATTAAACAATCTTCAAGCTGCTCTGTTCACTTCCTTCTCAGTTTTTAGCTGTCCTTTGTCTTCCTTTTTTTAACTTTTTCCTTAGCTTTGTCTTCTCTTTGACAATACAGGTCTTTTCCTTATCCCTTTGGCCCACCACCTCTTTGAAAGGTAAAGAAAACTGCAGAGGATCTTGTCAAAGACTATGTTCTCTTTTTTTCCAGCTTTTTTCACCTTGGTGTGCATTTTGTGAAGCACAACACCTCTATTAACATTATTTTCACTCTAATAATGAAAATACGATATGCTTTGTTCAAGTGTGGAACAGCCAATTCATTTAGCCACCCTTCAGGTTTGTTGTAAACACTTCACTAGTCTTGTAGCTCAGTTATAATA